TAGGTGCTATCTTCATCTCCCGAGATAAAATCTTTTGCTTTCGGACAGGATTTCTTCGAATTATTTCCCTTACTGCTTTGACCACCTTTTTCATACGTACCTACACTACGTGGACGGCCAGATCTTTTTCTGTCACAAACAGGAGGTCTCATTGCACCTATTAATAGCCCGGTACACAAACATTTTACTAATACCAAGCGTATGGAGAGTTTTAAAAATTGCATTTGGTTCCATACCTACTTTTGTAATGCAATCACAGCGATTCGGTTCTCTTTATCACCCCACTCCATTTTAATATCACAAAATATTGTACAATGTATTGGCGCCAAAATGAGAAAACTCAATGAGCAATCATGTAAAAATGACAAATTCCAAATTCAAATGTAATATTTTGTTTATTTTTAATTGTAACAATATTTATGGCCAGACTAGGTACAGTAGAATTCATATACAACGACTTCGCTTATAACGACTAACCGCTTTTAACGACGATAATGATTACTCAAGTTAGGTTTCATAGTTAGGTACTGAGAAAATATAACCGTTTAGTGCGACTCCGTTTTAAGCGACCAACTGCTTATAGCGACCCTTAATTATGAATATTATGATGATACGTCCGGTTAAAACGACGCACAATGTTTTATTTACATAACCTACCAATACCTCGGCGCCCCAACTTCACCCCGCCCCCTTTATTGGCGCGTGAATCAAAGTTAGTGCTTGTCACTTGTTATGAGAAGTTCTTAAAGCTCGACAAAATGAGTTCTATGAAGCGAAAGTGTTTTACAATTGAAGAATAATGTGCAATATGACACCGATTAGAAGCCGGTGAATCAAATGCAACCATCGCAAAGGAGTTTGGTGTATCTCATTCTACAATATCAACAATAAAGAAAAATAAAGATAAGATCGAGCCGATGTTTAATGCCAATGTTTTAAAATACAAACGTGTAAGGACTTCTACTCATGAGTCGGCGGATAAGGCATTGTTACAGTGGTTCAAGCTTCAGCGCGACTGGGGAATAACCGTGAATTTACCCTCTGCTACAAGAGAAAGCAATTTTTCGCTATACAGTTAGACATGCAAAATTTTACATGCTCCATGAGTTGGATAAATATATGTACTTAACATATGTACTTAAGAAATAATTCTGCCGTTTTGTACGTCATCTGGTTAGTACGACATAGTTTCGCCGGTCCCTTGAAAGTCGTTATATCCGGTTTCTACTGTATATCTATACTAATAAAAAATCTATAGTGGTTTTTACGGATGTTCCGTTATAACTACCGAACCATGCATCCGATGGACTTGAAACCTGGTATCCATTTAGAAAATACATGTACTTAATGAATAGGCTAATATTTATAGGAGTGTTGGACTCCCTACACGAGCTGCGGAGGCGTTAATGATGAGAGTCTTTGTGGGGGTGAGAAATAAAAATGTTAATTTTAAATGCCAAGCGAAACGGACGGGTACAGCTAGTATATTCATATAAATGTAGTAAACAGTGGTTATTTCAAAATTACAGACACTCCAATTTTTTTGTATGTATAGATGAGTAACTCCTTGAGCGATTTTAAAGCGAAACTCTCTTTTACTAACATACCTTTATATAGGTACATACATACAAACATAAGAGTTACACATAGATATTAAGATTATAATACAATGTGTTATAGTGTAATTTTAAGTCATATTGCATTTCACATGTCTGGCGCGTGTGCATACTGAATCAATATACACATACATCATACATTCTTAATTTATCGTGTGTAATGCTTACATATTATGTGCAATGCACGTGCAACATATATAATACACTTAGTAAGTAAGAATATATAATGTCAAAACAATACATACCTACAAAATAAAGTAGGTAAGTAATCACACAAAATTGTTGAGAGAGCCACCTTGCGTCTAATTGTAGAATGTAGAATTAATTTGGTTGAAAAAATTACGTCGTCTTTTTTGAGAAGCTTATTTTTTTGTAAAATGTGTTATATCGTGGCTTGCTCTTTCGTGGTTGACTTTTTGAGAGTTCTTAATTATACATGACATATCCTTTGAAGTCAAAATAAATCCTCCATTTTATGTCTTTGATTTCATTGTATTTGATTTAGACTTTCGTCTAAAAATATAGTTATATAACTATCTTTAACGCTCTATGTTCAATAATTGCAATTTAGATAAAACAATAAAATTCAACCTTTGGAGCGAAATGGTGCGAATTGTCATATTTTGTTCATTTAGCATTTCTTCATGTTTAACTGTTTAGCATCGGCGAAGCTGTACATATTAAGTGAGAAAATGAAACAAATGAAGCCTCTGAACGTAGCTTTTGGGGTTCTTCCAAAAACTCAATTGCAAAAGTTTTAGTAAATAACCACCATTTTACTAAAACTATACCTATTTCATCTCATCTCGTTTCATTTATTTTCATCTCAATTGATTAAAGTTCCAAATTGATCAACACAATTTTATACTACTTGGCTTAAAAGTCTCGTTACCAAGTCATAAAAATAAAAAAACAAAACTTCAAGCAAATTCAACCGAAACTGTAATATTCGTTTTGTACCTGTCATAAAGTTGTAATTTAAATAATATTCAACTATTACAAACTTTTCATTTAAAGTACTAAGTATTATTATTATGAACAGAATCAACAGTTGAATTATGAGTGAATACCAAAATTATCCATTCAAATTATACATTCAAGACATATTTCGCGCAAAAAACACTGAACACAAATATGTTTATGAAATGTTCGGCTCGAAATTTAAAAACGTTATGATACAAGGAGTCGTAACCTCCGTTTACAACAGTACAAATACAACGACGAACTTTGAACTGACGGACGCGACTGGAACCGTGCAAGCTTATTACGATTTAACGAAAAACAATTCAAATCTCTCTGAAAACATGCTAAAGGACTTAAATGAAAATTTCGAAGAAAGATCACGATCTGGAGACGAGAACCTCTGCACGATGGCATTCCTCATGGAACGTTTGCTTCGAAAAAATAAATTCGATTTTTTCGAGGGAAATTATTTATCAGTTATTGGTGATATTTTTGTTGATGATAAAAACACTAGAATGATTTCGGCGTACGAATGTAAAATTAACAATATTGAGAGAGATGTAATTTGGATGGAGGAACTTAGATATTTATATGAAAAGTTTTATCTTTGGAGTAAAGAGCCGTGATTTAAAACATTGTTATCATTAAATTAGTGTTGTCATTTGAAGTTATCATTAAAATAAAAGTAAACCATTATAAACATTTTAATTTAAGAGACAATTTTTAATTAAAGCTCATGAATATTTTAAAGTCTTTATTATCTATTTATTAATTCTTATTATTACAGCAGTGTTTAGTTAAAGTGGAAATGGGCTGACTACATTAACTGTAAAACTGATAATGGTTGGGTAAATGTGTTCTTAACAGGCAACTGCAAATTGGCAAGCATAGTGCAATACATCCTCAGGCTCAGTGGAGTGATCGGTGCAGAGTGGCTGCAAGACTTGGATGAGAGAAACAGAATCATGCTCAGTACTGGGCAATCGGAGAGGCCTATATCCAGCAATGCACTGCTATAGACATGATGATGATTATCAAAACAGTAACAACAACAACTGACTAAATAACATCTCATCTGCTGACGATCAGAACCTATAGCTATGACAATGTGAAGTCGAGTTAGGTTTATTTGATAGCCACATATTGATGAGTACATATTACAATAGGAAAAAAATTAATGAAGGGTTCACTGAGTTCTCGCTATAGTGGTTTTTGAAGTAGGTGAAAAAATGGGGGCGCTAAAAAATAATTTATTCTTAAAGTGGGCAGTAGACAAAATAAGTTTGGGAGCCCCTGTTTTAAAGGGATTGTTTTAAAGTAGCAACATGCTTAAAGTGGACTGAACCATTCAAATCCACCCTGGAAAATTATTTCTTTTAAATTTCATNACCATTCAAATCCACCCTGGAAAATTATTTCTTTTAAATTTCATTGAAGCTTGACTTCACTTATCTCTAGTAGTTATGGTATCAACATAATTATCATATTATTATACATATTATTTAATTTAAAACATTAACGTTAAACTTTTATAATCAACTAGTTTTTAGTTAGGGTAGGTAGACAATGTTAGACTGTATCGGGTGTGTCGTAAGGTGTTAAGGCGTAGTGTTGACTGTGGGGTCCTCGTTACCTACCCTGACCAGTTCCATCTCTAGCGGGGCCCAGATGTCGAGAAAGTGTTCGAAGGGATTTAGTAGCCGTCTTAGAGTCTAAATGTCTCCTGCACTCTCGCCCAATCTTCCAATCCCTGCCAGAGATTAAGCCCGAGAGAGGCAAGGGTTATATTGTCAACGCTGTAACCAGATCCGCAATTTATTTACGTCTCTACATCGGCCGTCTCTCGTCAAAAACCACGTCGGTAGTAATACAACCAGGTTTCTAGACTGGTTAATTCTATTTCACGTTCCGTAGCCAATAGCTCGGATTTCCGCTTTTTCGTTGTGCTGGCAGAAACATACGAAATGTTATAAATAAACATAATGAGTTCTTTTAAACTGAAGTTCTTAGGTACGGTACCTAGTTGTTTTTAAAAGGTGCAATTTTAACACATTTATTTAAGCTAGCCTATCTAATGCCGAATAAACAAAACATAGGTATTAAGCCCTTTGACAAATTGGTAGGTAGGTTCGAAGTTCCAATATAAATAGGATTATGTATAAAATCGTATGTGACATAGTATCAAAAAAAAAAGAAAATATCTGAGAAAAACAAAAAAAAAAGCCCGCTGATGAATTTGAATTTGAATTTAACGAATAATATCAGGCTGTGTGTTTTATTCATGGAGTTAATACCTAAGTACCTACTAACTCTGGTTTTATTTTAGTATTTAATCTACGGAACCGTGTGTCTAAGGGATTTTATAACCTGGTAACTAAGACGTTTAGGTCATTTCTTATTTTAATTTATATTCATTATTTTTATCAAAACTGATCATATGGAGTGAAATGAAATGAAACGAAGATGATTAATTTGAGACATCAATTGACTGGGATGAAATTAAATGAAATGAGATGAGATAATATGATGGGATGAAATACAATCTCAATGAAATGGTGGTCATTTACTGAGATTTTTTCCAAAAAGTCTGGAATCGTGTGTTCGGCTGTAAATGTTGGATTTTTTGGCGAGAACGCGAGTAGTGAAGTTGTGTGATTTGTTTTATTTTGTCTATTTAGTGTTTCTGCAGGTTTAAATGCGTAATAAAGGTAGGTTATTAACTGTTTTGTATCTGTGAAAGTGCACAAAGGGGAAATTAAACAAAGCTGCTGGACGTAGCTACTCGGGATCCTCCAAAAAGCCCACTGAAAAAGTCTCAGTAGTAAATAACCACCATTTTACTGAGAATATATTTCATCCCATATCATCTCATCTCATTTCATTTATATTTTATGTCGGTAGATTAATGTCTCAAACTAATCATCATTTCATTTCAGTCCATATTATCGTTTTTCATAAAAATAAGAATTTAAAGACTTGACCTTTAGGTCTTAGTTACCAGGTCATAAAATAAAAAAGATAAAATACTACATTAGAATGTCTTATCTATGGTTCGATATAGAACAGACAAAGCTGTATGGGCTTAGATCCCCTTGCGTTTCCTAATAAGGAAAAATCGTACCAAAAAAATAAAATATCTATGGTTCGACTATTGTAAATTGTAAATTCGTCGCTCGTGTAGGCCGCTGTAAGTTGATTAAAAATTTAAATTGCAATTATTTCGGAGGAATCGTATAGTCACACACTAATTACAAAAATCACAACAAATCCAATTTAGCTTTTTCTTTTATTAAATAATTTTAGGTTAGAACTGAATTTAATATTTTTTTCTAGACAACTAATAAAATGGCCCAAGGGATTTCTCCACAAGAAATAGAGGCTCTATGCCAAACGCCGGATCCCACTACCAAGGTAAATAAATTTAATTGTTATAGAAATAGTTTTTTAAAGATATATTAAAAGTAGCCACTGTGCCCCAAGCATTGCTGACGTTCATGACGGTAAGCACTCACCATCGCGTGGGCCGTATGCTCGTCTGCCTATAAGGGCAATAACAAAAATATGTAAACAAAAAAAAAAAGTACAAATTGCAACTTAAGTAATAAGTATGTACCCGAATGCAATTAATAAATCACTATTTAAGTTCTCATCTAACTCATCTATTATTTTCTATTTGTGCCATTAAGCAATCATCCTTTCCAACTTATCAATAAAAAATTTATTGTGGTTTTTTTTTCATTGAAACATCAACAAAATTCCGAGGTGGCTTTTGCATTTATTGAAGTGTATTCACAATATGAATTGTAGTAGCTAGTCGATAATATAACAATAACTTGTCTATATCTTGACTATCAAGTGTGTTTTGTATAAAACTAAAATGAAGTTTTATCACTGCTTATCATGTTTCTTATCGGATACATTTGACCTAAGCCAAAATATTTTTCAATCATAAATGGTTACATAAAGACAGATAAACGAAATCTGAATAGTGATTATGCGAGATACAACTATTCTAAAAGTCACTCTAAATAATATCATTATAATGAAAACTACTTTTACGGCCTTATAGAAAATAAATAACTCATCAGTAACTGCGCGTCAGGCAGAGGCTTGGCTCTGCCCCTGGCATTGCTGAAGTCCATGGGCGACGATAACCAATCACCATCAGGTGGGCTGTATGCCTAAAGGGGCAATAAAAAAAAACATAAAAAGTGTGGAGTATTCGAAACTTCAGAAATAATAAAAATAATACCATATTAAACTGTAAAAGTTGGTTTATTAATGTCTATGACTCTTCAAAACGGAAGAAAATACTACAACCTTATTAGTTCAGCTGACAGTGAGTCTGTGCTATGGATCTTGATGTTCTCAAATGTACGTTTTTGTCTCATATATGGTTCCAGCATCCTGAAGGCTGGAAAATTCCTAGCTTGACCAGCTAGGCAAGTGCTAGCTAAGCTGTTGAATGTAGAATGTTTATTTGTTTACTGATAATTTGCTGGAAATGCCTCTGTAAAGGATACAAAAGAAATAGAGGCAAGTACTGGGAGTCTTCCGAGAATTGTATTCACAGCTCTGGCACTCTTTACTGCACATTTCTGCCGCAAGTAAACTTGTTTTTTTGTTTGTAAATTACAATGGTATATGTCCAAGTACAGGAATGCTCACATTGTTGCAATATACACTGGTAAAACTTACTCTACTTATTCACTGTGAACACTAAAAGAAAACATTGTGCTATTTATGTTTACAAGTGGTACTCTTTAAAATTTTTATCAAACAATAATATAATCGAATACCACAAAGTGAAATCTAAGTTTAAATGTGGAATAGCTCAATATCAACCTGTTTAATATGTAATTAAAACTAATTTTACCATATTATCAATAAAAATTTTGTGGTCATGGACAACTGATATGACTATGTCTAAATTCTGGCAACCTAATGTTTGTTATACCCTGATAGATCATTTAGTAGGGTAGTTCTTTTTTTTGTGAACAGAGAGAGAGAACCTTCAGAAATAACAACTCACTTATTACTTAAAAGTAATAGACCTTTGTGCTAATTTTGACCTTACAAAATGAACTACTAAAATCGTATTTCATTTTCCAGGATTTTATGTTCCAACAAACAATGTACAGGATCAAAGATCCAAGGAAGACCATACCTTTTTACACTGGTGTCCTCGGAATGACATTACTTAAGCAACTGCATTTTCCAGCAATGAAGTTTTCGTTGTTCTTTATGGGTTATGAGAATCCAGCCGAAGTACCGAGAGACGATGACGCCAGAACTAAATGGGCCATGACTAGGAAAGCCACGTTGGAATTGACATAGTAAGCCTTTTTTTATTTCTCTTCCATCTATACCAAAACTATGCTGTTATACATTAGCTACTACTATACCTAATGTTAGATCTGACTTATGTCTCAATTGTATTTGTATACTGGTGGTAGGACCTCTCGTGTGTCCGCACAGTTAGGTACCACCACCCTGCCTATTTCTACCGTGAAGCAGTAATGCGTTTCGGTTTGAAGGGTGGGGTAGCCGTTGTAACTATACTGAGAACTTAAAACTAGATGTCTATGGGCTCCAGTGACCACTTAACACCAGGTGGGCTGTGAGCTCATCCAACCATCTAAACAAAGTTGCAAGTGTTTCAAGGGATTTACATTTTAATTCTATGAACCCTACTGAATTTGCTTTTAATTTATTTGAATGAATGATTGAGTGAAATAAGCTCTGAAAACTGTTTACTGTTGTGTATACTAAATTGTCACCGGAGCCCAATGTGAATGTCATTTTGAAAGATGAGGCTTAGATTTTGTATCAGCTACCTGAACCCTCAAACCTGAATTTACAACTATTTAGTAGCAGACATAGTGGGGATAATGGTACTTATTCAACTTACACTAATCTCTATATTTTCAGTAACTGGGGAACAGAGAGTGACGACTCAAGCTACCACAACGGTAATTCAGATCCTCGCGGTTTTGGACATATTGGTATACTTGTGCCGGATGTGGACGTAGCGTGTGCTAGGTAAGGGTAATACACGAGTCTGGTTGTAGTGTTGACCACGGGAACCCCCCTACTCTGACCGGGTTCTGACCCCAGACGAAGATCAGGCGTCGGGTGTAAGAATGCAGGGGAGTGGTTTAGTATGGTAGGGCTCTAAAACTCCTTTGGCTCGCGGTATCTCCCAACATCAGTAGATCGTCAAGTCCCACAAACCCTGCGCACCCCCTAGGCGCGGGAACCTCGTAGGATGTTTGGCCAGCGACCCGAAAATAAAAAGTTTACCCTTACCTTACAGTAAACCAAACTGACTAATCAATAAAATATATAAGGTAATCGTTTCCAAAGAAATAATAGAAAGAAAATCAATGTATGAACTCATTATAAACATAACCAGTGAGCGACATTGGGATATTGACCTAATGCATAATTTACTAAAACAAATTTGACAGTAGAATTATTAAATGTTATTGTTACAAAGATCTATAAGGTATATAATTTATTGAATATAGGTAAGCTTAGGTACATGCAGTATATAATCTTATATCTTTAAACGAGCAATTCTTGTATATAAATATGTATATATGTTGGAGTATTTCCACTTTCGGGTAGCGACATGGTAAGCGGGTGGTCTTCGTAAGTCAATAAAACCAGAAATGTTAACTCAGAGCGTATATTACGCAGGAGCGTTCTGTCTGATACGGTGACTCGCTCGCTTCTGAGCTAAGGATTGTACAGCAGCTCTTTTTATAGTCAGCCAGTGTGCCGGCAACTCGCGCCATCAAAGGGTGCCGCTGCGGTATGTGATCCAAGCCGCCCGCCGCGAACGTTGAAGTGTGCCGGCGACCCGCACCATCAAAGGGTGCCGCTGCGGTGTGTGTTCCAAGCCGACCGCCACGAACGTTGCAAGTGTACCGGTGACCGGAGCCGTCAAAGGGTGCCGGTGCGCTCTGTGATTCAAGCCGCCTGCCGTTGATCGTTGCAAATATGCCGGTGACCCGAGCCATCAAAGGGTGCCGACGCCCTCTGTGATCCAAGCCGCCTGCCGTCGACCGTTGCAGGTGTGCCGGCGGCGCTCGCTGACAAAGGGTGCGGATGCGCTTTGTGATCTAAGCCGCGCGCCGACATATATAATCTGAATCTCGGAAATGGTTTCAACGATTTTCATAAAATTTAGTATATAGGGAATTTCGGGGGCGATCGATCTAGCTACGATTTATTTTCAGAAAATGTTGTTTTATTCGTGTTTTCAATAATCAACTTTATCGATAATCAACTTAAACATAAACTTTTTTTTATTGAAAGAAAATAAATCATATAATATAATATCAATATGTAATTCGTATTTAAACATAATCTCTAAAAAACACAATTTATCACCAAAAATAAAAGAGCAAAGCTAAGTCATCCTCTAGTCTAATATTAAGTTACAAGATCTGTTCAAATCACTCCTTCAATTACTAAATATAGTTAGGGTTGGCACCGATTCAACTGAGGAATAATAAACTCGATTTGATGTTGAGTCTAGGATCATCAAGTATAGCGTAAATAAGTTAAAAAGTTAAAAGCTTATTAAGGCGAACAAGAATTGCAGGATTCTGTACAATTTTGGTTTTGTGTGTTGAACTGGTTAGATCTGTCCTGTATGATTTTGATTTTGTAGTGTGTTAGTCAGGGTACTTATTCTCCTTACAGTAAAAAGCTTGTATAAAATACACATGTTACATAAGCAAACTGAGATATTACCCAATATGTGTAGCTGAGTTTATAAAAATAAAACATTAGATATCAATATTGAATTTCATAAATTAGAACTAAACGCAAAAAGTACTTCAGAAAAATATTCCTACACACAATACTGATATGCTGATACTAAAACTATATACTTCTTTCATTCCAGATTTGAGCAGCTAGGTGTTAAATTTATTAAACGTCCCAACGATGGTAAAATGAAAGGCCTAGCTTTCATTCAAGACCCGGACGGTTACTGGATAGAAATATTCACAAGTAATGTTGTTTGAATGTGTACTGTATTGAAAGATACCGGTGTAACACAAGGAAAGCCACTCATCAATCCAGCCATACCAACAAAATGCCTATATTTAATCAAAGTTTTACAATATTAGTGTATTAAATAATCAGGCAGCAGGAACAAAATTAGTATAAAATAGCTGGCTAGCTATAAACAGTGTCAATTAAATTATTGTAACTGGATATCTGTGTCACCGGTTCCAGAAAAAACTACATTGGGGAGCCAGCAAACAAAGGGCAGTGTATATTTTTTTAAATTACCATTAATCAAGTTGTGTTATTTTCTTTATAAAAGCAATTGTACAAATTAAACAGTACATTATAAAAAATAAACTAGGACAGTTTGGGGGGAAACAACAGCCAATGTTGTCCACGGTGAGCTATGCTATGCTGTCATGCTAACATAACTCCATAAATGTGTTGATGGTTTTCTTAAACATATGTTTTAAGCAATAATTGAAATTCCTGTGGGATATTGTTGTAAAATTCCCTAAAAGATTAGTTTTTTTATTCCATATTCTAGCCGTTGGAAAATAAGCCTATTATTGTTCCCGGTACCCATATTGTGCACTGCAATAATTAAATAAAATCTATTTTAACGATTTAGCTCTTAGCATAATGATGATGAACAAGAAAAGAAAGATGCTAAAAGTGTGACTAATCATTGTAGGTATACACCCAAATGACGTCACTAGTGTCGAAGGCAATTTTTCCTTTCACTACTTCTGTTTTTATTTTTTTATTTTTTTTATTCTCCAGAAATATAACATGTACATTAATTTGTCCTGATTTCCGTACATTGAATTTTCAAATATTGAATTAACACAACTAAGTTCTGAAATATTTGATATAATCAGTAAAAAGTTGTCTATATATTAAGTGAAAAACGATTTTGGAATGTGGTTATTCCTCTGTCTATACATAATTCATAGAGAAAAACAGTTAATGCATTTCTTTTTATTTGAAATATTGTTGATTTTATGGAAAAAAATATTAATATGTAAGTACTAACATATATTTGACGTTATATACAAATATACTCGTAATATATATTTTTTTTGTATTTGTAAATAATAAATGATTTATCATTGTTGCTATGTCGTTTATTTTTTTTGTAAAGAAAATCGCCGCCTTTATAATTCACCTGATTTTAAGTGGGCACTGGGGACTAGAGAATGTTAATGTCGCCACGCATCCTAAGACACGAGATAGTCTGGGTTGTATAGATAAATTAAACCGATACACGCCCAACTCCAAACCAGGATTTATTGTACTACTAGCTGACCCGGCAGACTTCGTAGTGCCTCAATCGATAAATAAAAGACCTAAAGTTATATAATATATAAAATATACTTAAAACAAACAAAAAGTTCATATTTATCTACCTTTTAAACCTTCTCTGGACTGTCACAAATAATTCAAGACCAAAGTTAGTCAAATCGGTCCAGCCGTTCTTGACTTTTAGCGAGAACAGCAATTCATTTGTATATATCGACGCTTGAAAGGCAAACGTGATTTTTTTTTTTTTTTTTTTTATTGACCTTGTAGGCAGACGAGCATACGGCCCACCTGATGGTGAGTGGTTACCGTCGCCCATGGACTTCAGCAATGCCAGGGGCAGAGCCAAGCCGCTGCCTACCGCTTAATACTCTCCACAAGCCTCGTTTGAAGAAGGACATGTCATAGCGCTCGGGAAACACCGTGGAGGGGAGCTCTTTCCATAGCCGGATGGTACGTGGCAAAAAATACCTCTGGAAACGCACTGTGGATGACCGCAGTGGTTCCAGGTAGTATGGATGAACTCTACTCCGGTGACAAAATAAATGATAGGCAATAACCATATTTGATGCGCAAAAAAATATATTTCTAGGTCTATTAAAATCATTTCAATCCTACAGCTATTAGCTAGATTCTACTACAGCTAGATTCGTTAATTTTTTTTTTTTTTCTTCAGGTATTTCAACTTTAAATAATTAGTCTACTGTAAAGTTTACGCATTGTCGCTTAGTCAAGTTTGCCTTTTAAGCGTCGATATATAGTTTAGAACCAGGGACGTTTTCATTAGACATTTTTCTTAGTTCACTCATCTGTAATTGAATGAAGAGTTTTGTGTTGTCCAGCTGGAGCCCTGGGTATGTATACTCCAGAGGGCCCCACAAACAAGTTCGAAAAGGAATGGTAGCGAGCGAGGTGCGGACGTATTCTCGTGTGTATGCTTCGGTGGTTGCGGGTGATCTGTCGGCTGTCGGCTAGGCTTGTTGAAAAAATATCGATCTAATTTTTTCAATGTATCGATATTTTTGAGCTATATTATTATTTTATACATCGATGTATCGATATAAAATTCCAAGTATCGAAAAGGTATGATAATCGATATTTTTTTCAGACCAACAAACATTTATATGTTCCCGGGAGTTTTTCTTTTATGAAATTTCATGAAATTTGATGAAACTTCATGAAATTTCATGATACTTCCTGAAATTTTATGATATTATACTATTGAAATTTTTAAAATTTCATAAATCTTCGTAAAATATCATTAAAAATGATGTCTATTGATTAGCACGAATATTCTCTGTCAAATCATACCGAAGTATCTATATTTTTTGATAAAAATATCATAATCGATATTGATATTTTCAAAAAATATCGATACGATATATATCGATACTTTATTGCATTTCGGACATCCCTACTGTCGGCGCACGAAAGGGCGCGAGCGCGGCTTGCCAAAGGGAAAGCCCTTCGGTCGCTACTCTTTGAGTCGCGCCGGGAGCCGACAACGAGAGCCCCTGATTGGTCGCGGCACGCGATCAGACACGGCAGGCTTTTGGATTGCTATAAGACATAAGAGAAATTATTCAATCATTTTCGCCGACTGAGTTTCTCGCCGGATCTTCTCAGTGGGTCGCGTTTCCGATCCGGTGGTAGATTCTGCGAAGCACGGCTCTTGCTAGGGTTCGTGTTAGCAACGTCATCAGGTTTGAGCCCCGTGAGCTCACCTACAAACGTTAGGGTTACGCTGAAATAGCCCCTAAGGCTATCAGATTAGGTAGGAAAAAAAAAAAAACAATCATTTTCTAGTCCACGGTATGGGTTGGCCGAAGAGAGTGATCGGGGATGTGAGATTTCTACGCCTAATGCGGGAGGAGATACGGGTTGAGTAAGAAAGATCCCCCTTTGAAAGATCAATGCTGTGCTTTTCGCTGGCTTAATATACGCCATTTCTAGGACCACTGTCTGAGAGTTATGGCTGCGTTCTCGAGCTCACTTGCAATTAGGGACTTGTTTCTACTCGAATAATATACGGTGGTGTCAACGGTGATCGGGAAAGACCTTGATAAATAAACTAAATAGGCGTGGAGAGCTTCTACTGTATGTATTGTTTCGTTAAACTCGTTTTGGGATATTTATTTGGGATTTTTGTGCTCCTGATGGTTGTCTGGAAGATATCGCTCTTAGTGATAAGACCGCCTACTTTTTGTTATAACTGTTTCGCATTGTTTATTAATTTTTGTACAATAAAGAATTCTTCTTCTCTATCTCACTCTCTCGTGTAATAAAAATCAAACACGCAAAATTATAATTTGCATAATTACTGGTGGTAATTATGGGCCTCTTGTGAGCCCGCACGGGAAGGTACCACCACCCCGCCTATTTCAGCCGTGAAGCAGTAGTGCGTTTCGGTTTCAAGGGTGGGACAGCCGTTGTAACTATACTCAGTACTACCACATTATTTATGCCTTCATCGTGGAAGTGGTTCGTGAAGATGTCAAGTAAGTATTTCATTAGAACAAATTTTACCAGTCTGCGGGATTAAATCGAGACATAGACACAGCACTCGAAGCGAGAACCCCGGCGTTCTATCCGTTAGACTTCATCGCCTTCTTAACCTAAAACAATAGTACAGGCAAACACGCGGGATGGGATGTCCTACTTTTCTCCCGCGCTGCACATACTATTTTTTCTACCGAGTACCGAGCCGGGGTCCAGGGGGAGGGGGGGGGGGGGGGGGCAGAGCCCCCGTATTCATAAAAAACAATTGAACTGTTTTTTAATTTTTAAATAAACTACTACTAATTGAATAAGAACTGTCTGATGAACTCATCTTTGTTTAATACTTCACTATTAAGTTTTATTGCCTTTTGTTTATTTCACTTTTACACTAAACACAATATTGCAAATTTACCCGAGCACAACAATGGCGGAGAATTTTATGTGCATGAGGGCAGACGTAAACACTAACGCGCATGCGCACTTGTCAGTACCCAGGGAGTAAAAGTTGCACTTTCTTCCCTGTACCTACAGCGGGAGGAAAACCGAACTTTTGGCGTAGGTAGGAGAAAAAGGCAGTTTCCATATTTGGGAGAGAAATTTGCAGCACCGCAATCTGAAGGTATTATCCGCTCTTGCGATTTCGGGCAATGAAAAACATGTGCTAAGCTATTTACATTACGTTTTTTTTTGTTTTCTACAATATTTCGCCAGCAACACCGTCCTGTATTTAGGTATTTTGTTTTCATTATAGTTTCCTTAATCATCCTAATCCTCCTTCAATCCAAATAAGGTAGCAATCGGTGCAAGATGAATTTGCCACAGGAAGAACAGTTAGATAGAATGCGGAAAGCACAATTTAGTCTTTCGCTTCGTAGTACGTAATTTAATTCGACCTTCACCTTTGATAGTCACGAAACGCCTCAAATAAGCACATTCCTTAGAACGTCAACCACGTTGAATCAATCACGCTATCATTATCATTATCCTGCCCTTCTCCCAGTCACCTGGGGTCGGCGCAGCATGTTTTCTCCTTCCATACTTTTCTATCATATACCATTTCTTCGCTCATTCCCAAATCGTCTTTCACGCAATCCGTCCATTTCTTCTTAGGTCTACCTCTTCCTCTATATCCTTCCACATTCATAGTTAACATTTTCTTACCAACCTCATTTTCATTTCGTCTCATCACATGTCCATACCATCCTAGACGCGCACTTCTCAGCTTCTCTGTCACAGGTGCCACTTTCAGACTTCCTCTAACATATTCATTCCGTATTCTATCCATTCTCGTTACACCAAACATCCATCGCATCTCTGCTGCATGCAATCGCCTTTCGCCAATGGAATCAATCACGCTAATACCCATTAATTAAATAGAAAAGACGACGCATTAGAATCGCAGGCGGGAAATACTTTTATAATAAAACGTGAGCCCGATTCGATTTGGTTCCTTAACGTTTAATTGAAACATATTTAATAAATGTTCGTTTACAATCGATTTTATAAACATACTTTCAATTAGCGAAACGGCTATAATTTTACGTGTTTTCAATGCGAGAAAAACACTTTTCGTTCTCGCTTCATCGCGATGAAGTCATACGTTTTCATCGCAACGATTGTTTTGGCAACGACTCAACTGACCTGGGTATGTATTTGACGGAATTTAAATAGGATTGTTCGTAACAGAACCGATAAATTATAAAAAAAAGATGTGTGGTGTCATGGGACACCGGATAGGAACGAAGTTCCGTATTATAAAAATATTAATTTTAAGTTCTACTCGAGGTTTAAAGAAAATAAAACTGGAGGTTTCGCAAACAACCCACGGTCATTCGGTAACGTGCGATCTTATTGTGGTACACTTCATTCACGGTTGTTTGCATAAGAGTTAGCGTATTGCGCAAACGAACGCTCTGAGATCGTGGTCAATGAATGATAAAAAAATATGTTATTTTTTGTACGTTATTACAAAGTTAAGTCGTACACTGTGTGCATTACTAATAAAAATCTTACGTTACGGACGTTTTTTCTCGGTTAGGGTACCCCTCCGCATCAACCCATAAGGAACTTCGTTCCAAAAAACGCTTTTAAATATGTAAGTAGTAACTGAATCTCGCACGTCTTTTCCTACGAAGCTGAGATTGGTAGGGATGCCGCTAAAACTAAATTGAAAAATACTAACGTGTACACGATTGTGTGCGTTCAAAAAACTGATAACACCGCTAGCATCAGGACACGTTATTATGAGCTAATACAAAGGAAGATCTTCCAATAGTATGTTTGCTTAGTAGAAGATTCAAGTTTTTATTTTTTATTGCTTAGATGTGTGGACGAGCTCACAGCCCACCTGGTGTTAAGTGGTTACTGGAGCCCATAGACATCTACAACGTAAATGCGCCAACCACCTTGAGATATAAGTTCTAAGGTTTCGGTATAGTGCTGTTATAAGGCTGCCCCACCCTTCAAACCGAAACGCATTACTGCTTCACGGCAGAAATAGGCAGAGCGGTGGTACCTACCCTTGCGGACTCACAAGAGGTCCTACCACCAGTAATTATGCAAATTATATTTTTTCGGGTTTCATTTTTATTACACGATGTTATTCCTTCACCGCGGAAATCAATCGTGAACATTTGTTGAGTACGCATTTCATTTAAAAATTGGTACCCGCCTGGGATTCGAACACCGATGCATCGCTCAACACGAATGCACCGGACATCTTATCCTTTAGGCCACGACGACTCACAAGTTTATAAATAGCCTCTCAAGGCTATTTCAGCATAGGTAGGAAAACAAGGGGAGTAGAACACATAAATAAAAATCATTGTTTTAATTATAAAATTATCTGGGAGGTGAAAAAGGAGCTTCGTCCAAGTCCGGCTTCTGTGAGGGGGCAACCTCCTCCCGGTAATAGCCTGAGGTTGTCGAGGCTGCGTCGTATGCTACCATCACTCTAGCGCGCTGGCACCGGGAGGATGGGACGACACCGCATTGCTGTCGTCGCTGGACGTTGGAAGAGCAACCAGGTCGGCAGTGTATCGCGTTCCAATCCAGCAGGCTGGTTTTAACTCAGCGGGGTATCCCGAAACTCCAGTAGCAGTCTCACGGCGACCTGACGTTTCGCCATGCCGCAAAGACCGGCGTCGCTGCTCGTTGCTGATCGCCTCGACGTCCTGTCAATCAGGCGTCGTAGTGGCGAGTCTAGTTGTAGTCTTGACCGCAGGAAACCCCCTACTCGGTCCGGGTTCTGACCCCGGGCAGAGATCGGACGTCGGTGGGTGTAGTGGGAGTCATTCGGTGCGTAGGGTCCTAAATACCTATATCCTTGGGCCCGTGATCCACTCTTAGCATCTGCGGACCGTCAAAGCCCACATACGCCACGCGCCACTTCCTCGGAAACCTCACCTCGAAATAGAAGCATCTCTTTTTCCGGCAACCTTCCCGAAATTACAGCGGGTAGAATTGCCGCAGTCTTACCGTGACAATAGCTTCATCAGACATAGATGAGAGTAGCGGGCGATCAAATAATATAACATAACAAAGGGGAAGCCCGTGCCCGGCAGTGGGTACCAAAGTGTTGCAGGTGTTGGCTAGAAAAAGAATTACTCAGAGAATGAGATCCAAAACCGAATAACAGATACTACTACAGAATAACAGATTTTCTAAAACACCAAAAATCCGTAGCAGCGTAGCATCCACCCGGTACCATACGATGCTGTCCTCTGCCATCTTGGTAGGTCTTACATCGAAACGTGACGGTTCAGTATAAGTTCTACTTTAACCTTAGCCTGAAAATCATAAACAGCGCATTCTTCTTCTTTTTCTCCACCTTATTGCATTAGGTGGGGTCGACACTGCTAATTTTTCTCTTTCATTCTCTTCTATCAGCCGTCATCACAACACTCACTGCTCTCTCTTATATCGTCATTCACACACTCCATACACGTCTTCTTCGATCGACCTCTTCCCCCTCTACCTTGCACTACCATTTCCATACATCTCCTAGTCACATTCATCTTCTCTCTATGCATTACATGCCCATACCACGCGATCCGTCGCATTCAAAAGCAAAAATTCCGACTTAATACTTATATTTCGAATGATTTTTTTTTCCTACCTAAGCTGGTAGCCTGGAGTGGCTATTCCAGCGTAACCGTGGCTAGTAGGTGAGCTCACGGGGCTCAAACCTGACGACGATGCTAACACGAACCCTAGCAAGAGCCGTGCTTCGCAGAATCTACCACCGGATCGGAAATGCGACCCACTGAGAAGATCCGGCGAGAAACTCAGTGGGCTGTGTCTGAGAGTTATTTCTAATGAGAAAATGATATCTAAATATATATAAATATGACATCATTTCTCCATGGAACTATGTACGGTGTCCTCATCTTATATTAAAATTTATCCCTACATCATTGCTTAGTAACAAAATATGTCAGTGGTACGTCAAAATTGCGTAAAATTCATGATCTAGCTGGGACTTACCCGTGATGCCAAAACTTTTTTTTTCCGGGTCGGGGTCCGAACCTCCTACGAGGTCCCCGCGCCTAGGGGGCGCGCGGGGTATGTGGGACTCAACGATCTGCAGGTGTTGAGAGCAGACCGCGGGCCCAAGAAATTTTAGGGCCCACCCACTAAACGACGCCCCTGCACTCTTCAAACTTTGTGATGTTAAACCTAGGTCATGTGTTAACTGGATTTTTATCGCATTCAGTATGAATGGGCAAAGCATTCACGTTCTGAAGTAGATTACACATATTCATTAGAATAATTGTTTATAGCTTTAAAATCATGATCGTAACTTCTTTCGCAGGGAGCTCCCGAGAAACTACTTCAAATAAGAAATGATAACGGTACTTGCACTAATATAGCAGCTATCCTGATCGTATTTAGGATTGCGTTATCCAAACAAAACATCGAAAATGACAAAATTGATTTAATACTGAACGATGCTCAGGAAATGTTAAGAAAATTAACAACTGATAAGAAATATCGGTTTTCATCTCTTCAGCCGATACCGAAGGAGGGAGAATTTCAAGTATTAAACACTAGGATAACCGATAATGAACCTAACAGCAAAATCGGTTGCCGCGACGCCTTAAAATTAATGACGGAATTCAAAATGAGCACCGAATTGATTAACCATATCTGTCAAAACGAACTGTCATCGATGTCATCGAGCATGATTGACAGCACTAAAAATATAAACATAATGGAAACGGGCTTCACTCAACGCGGTTCCGTTCGGAAATTACCAGATGAAGTTGTCAAAAATATAATAATATCGTTTTATAACTTTAAGCCCAAGGCCTTCAATAATTTATTCGACACAAACGACAACATAAATTCGGACAACTTGAAACAGTTGAATGATTTTATCATTCAACAATCGCATGTAAAATCTACTTCAAGCATTGACCAAAGTGGAAATATTGTGTATAAAGTCGAAAATCCAGAAGCAATACAGATTATCAGCGAAATTTTAAATGCAGTTTTAATGAAACTGTTTGATTTACATAAAAATATTGCTAACGGTCCGGTTAGTCATGATTTCAATGTCAACAAAATACAACAAAACGCCGAAGAGGAATTAAAAAAATATTTATCACAAGATAATGTCAGCATAAACTTATTTAATTTATCGCAAGATAATTTAACGAATAAGAAGGACTCCTTNGTATGTCACACTTAAGATATTGTACTTCGATATGAAGCATAACTTACTATAGTATTCTTTTCAAAAAATCTCAATAAAAAGATATTTTTGTTTTTCTTTTACACAGTTACCGCCCCTTTTTGACGCAGATATTGATGAGATAAACCAATAGATGGATTTGTCCTATTTTGGGTCCTATGTGTCATATGAACTGTAGACTAAAATGGTCAACGAAAATGAGTGATGATGAAAGAATATTGATTTTCAATAGGCTTTAAGATTTAGGAAACCGTGAAAAGCAGTAAGCCTTTATTGAAACCTTGGTTGTCAAACAAAAAACTAAGGATTTTCACTGATATGGAGTCTAGGCGTAGGTTTACTTTGATATATAGATTCCCAAGGGCTGTTTTAGACGACCAGGAAAACTATTTAACTGTGTACAAGAAGATGTTTCTGAACACATTTCCATTAAGTAAACAATTTGTCTATAAGTCTTTAGAAAATAAAGGTAAGTAAGGTAAGTGGCTTGATAGAAGCGGATCTGCGAGGGCGTCATACTAATCATCGCAAAGTAATAACTAGGGATGTTATCAGAAGTATATGCGATCACATAAAATCTCTTCAGCCTGTAGAGTCTCATTACTCTCGCCAAGGAAGTAGTAAAATTTACCTAGACGGAGATCTATAGTTCCATCGCTTGTTTGAGTTGTATAATAAGTGATTTAATACACTAACATACTCTCCCAAAGCTAGTTCTGAACGGCAATATCGCGACATCGTTAAAATCGACTTTAAGATTAATTTTTATATGCCAAAGAAATACCGATGTGACAAGTGTCATATCTATAAGAATATATCTAGTCTGACACTATATGAAGCACATTATATGAAGCACATATGAAAAATAAAGAGATAGCTCGCCAAAAAAGTCGACCGATAAAGAACTGGTCAAAGTATCAGATGGTAAACTATTAGTCGCCACTTTCGACTTTCAAAAGTTCTTACTGCTCCAAATGGTACAAATGGTACTATAAGAATTTCCTTTATTATAAAAGAAAGCTTTAAATGTTTAATTTTACAGTTTTTAATGTGGCTGAACAGGAATGTACTTGTTTTATGTGGCATGAAGTCCAAGGGAATCGCGAGGCAAACGAAGTGGCTAGTTGTTTGTATGAGTACATCTCCAAACGTAAGGATCAAGGTACAAGCAAGCTTCGGTTGCCGCTTTTATTTTTAAAGTGACAATACATCATTGTTTTTTAGAAGTTGGTCATAACCAAAATTAAGGCGATAGCGTTCACACCTTTATAGAAAAATGTGCCAAGAATATATTTGCTTGTATTTGAGTGTTTTTGTTTAGTACACTGGGCTAAGCAAAAAGGAAAGCCTTATATTGTAGAAGAATAACAATACACCGATTTTTTTTTATTACAAAACGTTATTAAAGGGCAATGGGGTTAAAAGTAATAATGGAGAAAAAGTTCAATGGAATAAAATAAGAGAGGTGTTTAAAACCTGAAGATCCTTATAAATTATTATATAAATATGATTTACCTGCCGAAGACTACCATAATTTATGTGTAAAAGCGTCTACCAGGCGACAATGTGTAATCAATATTGATGTACTGTATGCCAATAGGCTGCCGATGATACCTCAGGTGAAAAAAGATGGTTTGATGAGCATGTGCAAATCTCAAATCATGCCCAACGCTCATTATGATTTTGTCCAAAGCCTACCAGATACTGGTAACGACAGTTTTCCGGATTTAGATACAGACTAATTTTGTAATAATTAATGTATTTTTTTTTTAATATTACATAGTTTTTAATAATTTATTTTTATTTTTTGTACTGCAAATTTGAATCTATGTGATTTTAGAGACTGCACAATACTGATTGAATTTTTAACGAATATTCAAGTAATGAATAAATATTTTTATTTTCTTAGAGGGAATGTTTATTTGGACTGTTTTGATTACGAAATACATTATATTTCAGTATAATGGAAGATAATTATTTTATTTTAATTATTCCTCTTAATAGCACTTATGCTATGAACGTCTTTGTTGCATTGTATATTATGGTAACTGTAACCCAAGACACATTATTATTTCATTAGTTCCAATGTAAGTTATCGTACGTGTAACATACCCTACTTAATCCTACATATATATCAACGTAAAGTATAGTAAGTACTACATACAACGAAATACCATTGATATTTACCGTAGTAGAAAACCGTATGTGACTTTTAAGAAATTCTAGCAAAAAATTCAAAAAACCTTTTTAGTAGTAATATTCCGTTCCTAAAAATATATCTGTATGCCAATTTTGATTCTTAAATGAGCTGATTTGACTACACTATCATCAAAAATCTGCTTGCATAACTTTGAATTGCGATACTGTAAAGTTGATAAAATAGAGTTACGATATTATACGTAGGAGGTGTCGAAATGATAACGGTACTTGCACTAATATAGCAGCTATCCTGATCGTATTTAGGATTGCGTTATCCAAACAAAACATCGAAAATGACAAAATTGATTTAATACTGAACGATGCTCAGGAAATGTTAAGAAAATTAACTACTGATAAGAAATATCGGTTTTCATCTCCTCAGCCGATACCGAAGGAGGGAGAATTTCAAGTATTAAACACTAGGATAACCGATAATGAACCTAACAGCAAAATCGGTTGCCGCGACGCCTTAAAATCATATGAGCACCGAATTGATTAACCACATCTGTCAAAACGAACTGTCATCGATGTCATCGAGCATGATTGACAGCACTAAAAATATAAACATAATGGAAACGGGCTTCACTCAACGCGGTTCCGTTCGGAAATTACCAGATGAAGTTGTCAAAAATATAATAATATCGTTTTATAACTTTAAGCCCAAGGCCTTCAATAATTTATTCGACACAAACGACAACATAAATTCGGACAACTTGAAACAGTTGAATGATTTTATCATTCAACAATCGCATGTAAAATCTACTTCAAGCATTGACCAAAGTGGAAATATTGTGTATAAAGTCGAAAATCCAGAAGCAATACAGATTATCAGCGAAATTTTAAATGCAGTTTTAATGAAACTGTTTGATTTACATAAAAATATTGCTAACGGTCCGGTCAGTCATGATTTCAATGTCAACAAAATACAACAAAACGCCGAAGAGGAATTAAAAAAATATTTATCACAAGATAATGTCAGCATAAACTTATTTAATTTATCGCAAGATAATTTAACGAATAAGAAGGACTCCTTAGATTCATTAATAAATATATTCGGAAGCAAAATCGAGAGTCCAGAAAACAATCATGCATTTGGTAAAACGATATTGTTTAATAAGTATATGCAGAACACTCCTGAAGTTAATCCAATTACGAACGCATTAGCAGACTACAATCTGAAAATGCATCCAAAGCAAGTGAATGCCGATCAAGATTTACTAAAATTTGGTAATGATAATAATCTTCCCTTAATTTCTAACAAACAAAATCAACCGATAGGTAGTCTTGTATTTAAAAATACTCCTAATACATTAACGGATAAACCAGTATTAGAAGACTTCGAACAATATTTGAAAGTCGTTAATAATTTAAATAAAGCACAAACGATTGATAAACCCGTTGAAAATGTTGAAACAAAGGCAATACCAAACGAATTACAGAAGAACGGGGCTGGTAATGGTATTCTAGAATTATTGAGTAAATCACCATATTGGAATCAAATCCAGGAAATAAATCAACAACAGAATGTCCCATATCCATCGTTCAACAATAATCTATTACAATTACAAACAATAAAAAACACAGATCAAAATAAGATGAATATGGAAACCATTCAACACAATATAAATACGAACAATATAAATATAGACGCAATGAAGAATAAGGACATCTTTGTAGAATTAACGTACATATTCAATATCGATCCATTTGTTCAAACAAAATATGTGAAATACCGAGTACCAATAATTAAACTTTACGAATTACTTCTCAAAAAACCGATATTAAAAGATCAACCTACAAATTTATACCACGATCTAGTTTTAGTNAACACAGATCAAAATAAGATGAATATGGAAACCATTCAACACAATATAGATACGAACAATATAAATATAGACGCAATGAAGAATAAGGACATCTTTGTAGAATTAACGTACATATTCAATATCGATCCATTTGTTCAAACAAAATATGTGAAATACCGAGTACCAATAATTAAACTTTACGAATTACTTCTCAAAAAACCGATATTAAAGGATCAACCTACAAATTTATACCACGATCTAGTTTTAGTTGCGAATGTGTCTGATGTATCAGCTGATCTCCAAAAATATTCAAAAGAGGACCTTTTAACGTTAACGCTAAGTAGTGGCCGACTGTCGACAGCTAAAATGATCGAAGAAAACAACATAGACAATCAGTTGCATGTATTACAAAAATTAATGTGCAATGTGGAGCCGAAAGACATTCTGGAATTACATAAACAAAATATCTTAAACGGTAATGGCGACAACTTCAAAATGCAGCAGAGTACAAGTCCTTCCCAAAATTTGAATATGAACAGTTTAGTTTCTAAAGCTTACTACCAGCAGCCGCTTTGGAATAATTGGAAGGCCTTAAATAGTTTGACCCCAAACTTTCTTTATTCTAGGTACCTTACTAAACCTGTACAATATTTTTGGCAATATCCAACCCCTAATACTTTACCTGCGCCTACAATGATTTAATTAACTACAGATAAATTAATTATGTAATAAATGAAAAAATAAGAATAATACACTTGTCTAATTTCTTACTTACAGAAGTCACCTAATTTCTTATTTTTTAATGGCCACCTAAATCTAGAGAGACATATTCTGCTACACACGAACCCCACAAAGCTATTTCTAAAAAAAAAAATCCTTCAACGAACCTGGAATACTAATCTCAGAAATTGTAACACTTATTCATTAGCATTTTGAAAGTTCTTGTTACTGAAAAGTGATTGAAAAAACAGAACAACTGAGAATAAAGTTTTCGCCCTACATCGCCCTACAAGCTGCCATCTACAGGGGCCGGAGCCGGGCAAAAGCCCTTCTCCCCGGCTTGGCGGCGACGGATAGGTGCTGAGAGGGATGAGCTCTCCCTCTCTCGTTCCGCCGCCTCCTTCTGCGAGATGGTGTACTCGCAGAATAAGCAATAAAGTAAGCAATAAAAAAAAAAAAAGAAGTCTAGCATCGCCTGCCAGGACTCATCGCTGCCGAGCATCGTAGCCACGACAGTTGGCAGCGACAAGTCCGGTCCTATTTGCGAGACAAGGACACGGCGTTGCTCCAGCCATGCGGGGCAATGTGCGACCGTATGCTCGACCGTGTCCTCGTCGCAGTCACAGTGGTGACACTCCATCGTCGGTTCCCTCCGGGCGATGCGATGCAAGTACCGGCCGAAACACCCATGGCCGGTAAGCACCTGCGTCAACCGGAAGGTGAGACGCCCTTGGTCACGGTTCGCCTACACCACGAGGACCGGGCGCACCGCCTCGACGGTCCGGAGACCGGCCGATGGGTTCGCCAGGCGGTGAGACCACGCCTTCAGCACAGACCGCCGAGATTGGTTCTTCAACGAACCTGGAATACTAATCTCAGAAATTGTAACACTTATNAAAGTCGAAAATCCAGAAGCAATACAGATTATCAGCGAAATTTTAAATGCAGTTTTAATGAAACTGTTTGATTTACATAAAAATATTGCTAACGGTCCGGTTAGTCATGATTTCAATGTCAACAAAATACAACAAAACGCCGAAGAGGAATTAAAAAAATATTTATCACAAGATAATGTCAGCATAAACTTATTTAATTTATCGCAAGATAATTTAACGAATAAGAAGGACTCCTTAATAAATATATTCGGAAACAAAATCGAGAGCCCAGAAAACAATCATGCATTTAGTAAAACGATATTGTTTAATAAGTATATGCAGAACACTCCTGAAGTTAATCCAATTACGAACGCGTTAGCGGACTACAATCTGAAAATGCATCCAAAACAAGTGAATGCCGATCAAGATTTACTAAAGTTTGGTAATGATAATAATCTTCCCTTAATTTCTAACAAACAAAATCAACCGATAGATAGTCTTGTATTTAAAAATACTCCTAATACATTAACGGATAAACCAGTATTAGAAGACTTCGAACAATATTTGAAGGTCGTTAATAATTTAAATAAAGCACAAACGATTGATAAACCCGTTGAAAATGTTGAAACAAAGGCAATACCAAACGAATTACAGAAGAACGGGGCTGGTAATGGTATTCTAGAATTAATGAGTAAATCACCATATTGGAATCAAATCCAGGAAATAAATCAACAACAGAATGTCCCATATCCATCGTTCAACAATAATCTATTACAATTACAAACAATAAAAAACACAGATCAAAATAAGATGAATATGGAAACCATTCAACACAATATAGATACGAACAATATAAATATAGACGCAATGAAGAATAAGGACATCTTTGTAGAATTAACGTACATATTCAATATCGATCCATTTGTTCAAACAAAATATGTGAAATACCGAGTACCAATAATTAAACTTTACGAATTACTTCTCAAAAAACCGATATTAAAAGATCAACCTACAAATTTATACCACGATCTAGTTTTAGTTGCGAATGTGTCTGATGTATCAGCTGATCTCCAAAAATATTCAAAAGAGGACCTTTTAACGTTAACGCTAAGTAGTGGCCGATTGTCGACAGCTAAAATGATCGAAGAAAACAACATAGACAATCAGTTGCATGTATTACAAAAATTGATGTGCAATGTGGAGCCGAAAGACATTCTGGAATTACATAAACAAAATATCTTAAACGGTAATGGCGACAACTTGAAAATGCAGCAGAGCACAAGTCCTTCCCAAAATTTGAATATGAACAGTTTAGTTTCTAAAGCTTACTATCAGCAGCCGCTTTGGAATAATTGGAAGGCCAGTTTGGCCCCAAATTTTCTTTATTCTAGGTACCTTACTAAACCTGTACAATATTTTTGGCAATATCCAGCCCCTAATACTTTACCTGCGCCTACAATGATTTAATTAACTACAGATAATTTAATTATGTAATAAATGAAAAATATGTATATTAAAGAGTCGTGTAATTTCTTACTTACAGAATTCGCCTATTTCTTATTTTTTAATGATCACCTAAATCTATAGAGACATATTCTGCAACACACGAACCCCACAAAGCTATTTCTAAAAAAATATTCCTTCAACGAACCTGGAATACTAATCTCAGAAATTGTAACACTTATTCATTAGCATTTTGAAAGTTCTTGTTACTGAAAAGTGATTGAAAAAACAGAACAACCGAGAATAAAGTTTTCGCCCTACATCGCCCTACAAGCCGCCATCTACAGGGGCCGGAGTCGGGCAAAAGCCCTTCTCCCCGGCTCGGCGGCGACGGATAGGTGCGGAGAGGGATGAGCTCTCCCTCTCTCGTTCCGCCGCCTCCTTCTGCGAGATGGTGTACTCGCAGAAGTCGAGCATCGCCTTCCGGGACTCATCGCTGCTGAGCATCGTAGCCATGACGGTCGGCAGCGACAAGTCCGGTCCTATTTGCGAGACAAGGACACGGCGTTACTCCAGCCATGCGGGGCAATGTGCGAGCGTATGCTCGACCGTGTCCTCGTCGCAGTCACAGTGGTGACACTCCATCGTCGGTTTCCTCCGGGCGATGCGATGCAAGTACCGGCCGAAACACCCATGGCCGGTAAGCATCTGCGTCAACCGGAAGGTGAGACGCTCTTGGTCACGGTTCGCCCATTCCGCGAGGACCGGGCGCACCACCTCGACGCGACGGTCCGGAGACCGGCCGACGGGTTCGCCAAGCGGTGAGACCACGCCTTCAGCACAGACGGCCGAGATTGGTCCTTCAACGAATGAAATACTAATCTCAGAAATTGTAACACTTATTTATTAACATTTTGAAAGTTCTTGTTACTGAAAAGTGATTGAAAAAAAAAAAGAAAAAACATCAAAAGAGGAATGCAAGGAAAAATAAATGCTAAAACAATTACAAGAATTTAACGAGAACTTCACGATTAAATATTTTTCTCAACACCGACGAAGTTAGGATTTTTAAATTAAAAATAGGAATTACTCTAATCACGCGATTGGCATAGGTACTCAGTTTGCGTGTTGCTTGCAAAATTTACTTGATGTCGAAATAAAACATCTTCCATACATTATTGAACGTAAATTTCGATGATTTATCTGCAAACGTAATGGTGCAGTTGTAAATTACTGAACTGTATTTTTATGTGTCAAAGAAACCATTATTATCCTTGAACAGTGTGCTTATTGCGAGTTTTTTAACGTTCTCGATAGCGTAAAAGTTAGCTCATATTTGTATGGAATCGTTTGCCTCCGTTTGCCGCTAGGGGCGCTGTTCTAATTGCATACAAATTTGGCTTAACTTTTACGCTATCGAGATCGGAAACTCGCACTAAGCGCACAGTTCTCAAACTTTTCATTAAGTCAAATGTAATAGATCAACGCTAAGTGTTCGTTAAGTTTGAATAGTGACAAAATATGTTTAGTTTGTATTGACTGAGAAGCTTCAGACTTTTTGATTTCTTTCCGCTGTAGACTTTAATAATCCATATTATGCTGCTTGATACTTCTACCAAACAAACAAGAGACAAACATTGGCTGGCGATTTTTAGGGGTCTGTTTTTTCATTCTGAGGACCAGATCATGAAAAATAATTGACAATATTCTGAGCTTCTTTTCCTTGGCTACTCCGAGTGATCGAATTGCTCGGTGGGCGCACGCGGCCTTCCTTAAATCAGCCACTGTATTTTAACGAATCTAAGTTGGTAAGAGCGGCCATTGCCTACCAGCTCGCTCAAGAATGACATCTAGAAGCAGTTGTCTTCATAGGTTTGGGGGTAGCAGATGGACGAAAACCCCCTTCCTGTTCCCGAATTAGCGACGCAACAGTATTGAAATATAACAGAACATTTTCAGGTAATAATTTAAGTATTCATTAAAAATTTGAGGACTAACACCCGTAGCGGTCGTCTGTGACCACGAAAGCTGTTTAATAANAGCTCGCTCGAGAATGACATCTAGAAGCAGTTGTCTTCATAGGTTTGGGGGTAGCAGATGGACGAAAACCCCCTTCCTGTTCCCGAATTAGCGACGCAACAGTATTGAAATATAACAGAACATTTTCAGGTAATAATTTAAGTATTCATTAAAAATTTGAGGACTAACACCCGTAGCGGTCGTCTGTGACCACGAAAGCTGTTTAATAATAGATACACAAAAATCGGAAACCAGTGATTAAGCTCTAAAGTGTTAGTTACAATTTAATTACAATTTAATTATCACCAATTTTGAAAAAAGAAGAAAATGTGACGGATATTCTATAGCTTATTAAGCCCGAAAATATAAATTATTTAAAATCATGAGTATTAAGTTTTAAAGTGTCTTCATCATGGAAGTTCTTGGTGTAAAGTACGTACTTGCTTATAAAAATAATGAGTTAATCGGATTTGATCATTACTATTGTGTTACAGGTCTACTGCGTTATAATATTACCTACATCAAGCAAAGTCAAATAAGTACTTTTCATTTCTGAACGAAATCTAAGCCGTGATCCAAGAAAATTTTGGTGATATAATTTTTTCTAGCATACTGAACGATTTATATTTTATCTCTTTTCTTTACAAACGAATGCATGAAATAGAAACCATAACATAAATGAACAAAATATGTTGTATTTTTTGATAATAACAATCGGCAATCNACCTACATCAAGCAAAGTCAAATAAGTACTTTTCATTTCTGAACGAAATCTAAGCCGTGATCCAAGAAAATTTTGGTGATATAATTTTTTCTAGCATACTGAACGATTTATATTTTATCTCTTTTCTTTACAAACGAATGCATGAAATAGAAACCATAACATAAATGAACAAAATATGTTGTATTTTTTGATAATAACAATCGGCAATCAATTTTGTTTTTCTTTTTTAGTTTAATATTAAAAAAGTTTTAATAGTGTAGTGAATGTATGTAAAGAGAAATTTGTGTGTTTGTTAATCAGGATGCTTGGAAATCGCCTAAAATTTGTTAAACCAGGCAAGTGTCTTTGAGGTTATGATGCGATTTAGAACATTTAAATTTACAACTAAACTCAAATCTAAGTGCTACTTATTTACAAATTATTCATGTACCAACCACATTTGTGATGCAAACGACCAACCCTTCGAAAGATTAACCGACAGAGCTATTGCGCTCGGAATTACGACAGTTTGGAGATTTCCTAATGTTATTGTTAGCACCAATCTGATTCTTCCCAGTTCTTCTATTGGCCAAGAGATATCACTGGTACCTGGTATGACAGTGTATTTAAATCAGAAATCGCTTTAAAATTCGATGCTTTTACTGCCCAGAGCCGCCCTACAGTGCATTTACTCTCCAGTGCCTAGCAATTCACGACCTCATCATTACTGTCAAAAAGAAGACGAACAAATATTTTCAAATACTGTAAAGAAAAATATGTCTAGCTCTTGGGAAATGTAGGGGAATTCATTTCAGAGTATGATAATATTGCACACACTAGTGTTTAACAGGTTTTTACTATACCATGATTGTAGGTATGAAGAATGTAGTTAGGATGTTAGGAACAGATAAAACTGTCTACCTACTTTTAAATCTGTTTTGTTGTTACCATTGGAACTTAATGACTTGTCTAGACAATAGACACATGATAGATATTATCAGAATGCATCTTGGGATGTGTGGTTGAATTGTTTAAGGCTGTCTTGCTCCTCAAATCAGAATGCATGATTACTCAGTGCTAGGAACAGACATGCAATGGATAAAAATGCACAAATTAATTATACTACTGCATGCTTCCACACACAAACATTTTCTTATCTGTTTTTGTTTTCTGCGTGTTTCTAGAAGACGAATCTCTCTACCCAATTCGCAACAAAGATGGAGCCATCGAAACACTTATAAATCCGAACACTGATTCAGCACTTGTCATTGATTCTGACTCACACTCTAATTTCGTTTATAATCGCTACCACCACTTACCTTTAGAGAGTCAACGACAGAAATTACCAATTTTTCAATACAGAAATCATATTTTATATTTGCTGGAGAAGTATCAGACTTTAGTGCTCTGCGGAGAGACTGGATGTGGAAAATCAACTCAAGTGCCACAGGTAAGTCATGTTTTTCTCATCTCCTTCTCTTTCTGTCCATGACTCCAGGATTATAGTCACAACTATTAACTTGGTTCACTACTTTATCAAATTAAACAATACTGCAGTCACATGACTAAGAAAAATTGAATTTTTAATAAGGAATTGTGGTGGTGATATTAATTGATTGCTGCAGCTCACCCATAGATACAACCCACTGAGTTTCTCAGTAGCCTCTGACTCAGATCTGGTGATAAATTCTGCAAAGCACTGCTCTTTCTAGGAATAGTGTTAGCAAATTCTCTCATCACATACCTGTCTCTGTGTATTTCTTAGGCTACTAGTGAATAGGTAGGACAAAAAAGCTCAAACATCTTGGACATTGAGATGTTAGATCTAAGTCCCTACTGTGTAACAAATGTTCCACCTTTGAAACTGGAATGAATGGAGGAACTGCCTCAGAAGTAGGCAGGTTTTTGACATCTACCTGTGTAGTAAACACCAGTAGAGTAGTACACCAGTATGACAGTGAAACATCCCAGTCCGCTAACACTCTATCACATTCAAGTCTTAAGGTTTGACAGCTGTAATATAATCTGAATGGGTTATAGTTGTAGAAATTCAACATAATATGTTACCAATAAAGCCATAATTGATTAAAATTCATTAACACCTTAATTTGGAAGACTGAGATAGAAGCCAAGTTCAGCGATTCTGTTTGATTTTCCTATGCATTTTCACAGATTCTAAATAGTTAATAAGCCACCATTAGTCATTCAACTTAAAGGAACACTAAATATACACAGGGCTCGACATCTAGTGTCCCGGCAAAAGTCTGCCCAAAAGGTATTACATTACTGGTAGAATGTTAGACATTAATTAACCATTAGTATTTTCGGTGGCTTTCGCGAGTTAAAACAGCTATCAATAATATTTTATAATGATAATAAAAACGTGAGATTAAACAGTAAAATTAGTTTAATTAATACATATGTAGTTATGAACTTATTAAGTAGTTTTCGGCGCGAATTACCGCTTCCCGTTTTAGCATTAAAACAGCTGTAGATGAGATTTCTAATACACACCAAAACTTTTGGGAATAAAGTTTTGTGAATATTTTCAACCAGCTCGACATGACGAAGTCGAATTCTCAATCGTATTGTATAATGACTGCCATATCNAATTAGTTTAATTAATACATATGTAGTTATGAACTTATTAAGTAGTTTTCGGCGCGAATTACCGCTTCCCGTTTTAGCATTAAAACAGCTGTAGATGAGATTTCTAATACACACCAAAACTTTTGGGAATAAAGTTTTGTGAATATTTTCAACCAGCTCGACATGACGAAGTCGAATTCTCAATCGTATTGTATAATGACTGCCATATCTTTAAGTCGAAATGTGTGACTGCTTCGTGGCAGAACTGGTCGATTGGTGGTCTCATCTGCAGGCTAACAATCAAGACGCGTAGGTACGTAAGGTTTTGGGTAGTCACTGCTGGATAAGCATAGACCTTTAAAGTAACTTCAGTGTGGATCAGGCGTGTGCGTGTTTTGTAGGTTAGGGCATTTGTAGAATACAATAATTTGTATTTCGAACTCATCTCTCAGGGCGGTATTCACGTACCTAATATTTTCGTTTTCAATAACCACACAACGCTGGGTTAGACGCGATTTTTAATTTTTCTTAAAACCACAATAAATAAAATAAAAATTTTCATTTATTTAACATTGGTACCTATAAGTGCCAGGCATCGCATTCAGATTAAACTTGATTAAAGCAGTTATTTAAATGTAGTATTTTGACAGTTGTAATTTAGGCGGGAATGAATTGTTCGCGTTGCACACTTTTCCAAGTTTCAGTTTGGCGAGACCTCGCCGTGAGAGCGTACGTGTTTCGCGATTTAAAACAAAGCCACAAAGAGCTCGATGCGAAATTTAATCCCGTACGATAAATGTTACACGTGGGACGTTTTTAATACTGTGTGATAATGAAACGCGTATAAACCGTATTATAGTTTAGTGATTACAAAAAAAAAGTGCAATGGCCTTCAAATATAACTTTTTTTTCAATCCGTTACGCCGTGATGATGTGTGAACGAAAAAATAAAATAAAATTGGGACATTAACTGGTACATTTTAAAGTGCCCAATGAATCTAAAATAGTTTATTTACATAGTTTATTTATAGAAATTACGTGGGATTAGAAGTATAGACGTGTTTGGACGTGCGATGGGCGGAATCGGAGCGATTGTGTTTTAAAACGAAGCCTTAGAAAATACACGTATTGGATTAACAGTTAACAAACATAATGTGGCCACCATCGCAAGCCAGCAAATTCCTTATTTTGCTTGTACTCATCTTAGTCGTCATTTACTGCGTCTTCATGGACACGCTCTTGTATATGAGAGTGCAGTATTACAGCATAGAAACATTTGAGACTTCAACGCAAACCACATTCCAAGAATCGCCCACAACGAGACTCCGGGCTCTGAGCTACGAAGATGTTGTCTGGATACCTTGCAGTGTGAATCCTTTATGCCTTCCAACAGTCAAGGCTTTGATGGTCGATCACATCAACCATTACATCTACGGTCCCTTGTGCGCGATCCTAGATAAAGCATTGAGGATATCCGATAGAATGCTCTTCCTGACACCGAACACGATATCGTGCGCTCACGTTTTTATAGCAATGATTGGCGCGAACCTTTTGACGTGTCCGAATCTAAGCGTCCGTCGTATGGGCATAGTGCTCTTCCAGATCAGGATGTTCCTGGACGATTTGGACGGTCACGTGGCTAGAGAGCGTAAGCATATCAGAGGTGAAAGGTCAGAAGTCGGCAGCCTTGGTTACTGGGTCGACGGAATTTGCGATTTAATTGGCGTAGTCGCGATGATGCTCGGCATATTCGTGTACTTCAAGCAGTATCCGCCCAGACGTGGGTACAGGGGTACTTCAGCATCAGCGTTACCGTACTATCAGCTAAAAGAGATGAACGCTGCCGAGAATATGGAAAAGGACCACGCGTCAGACGTGGGGATCTCGTACAAAACCAAAGTGTCTCTGAAGGCGATAATTCAAGTTATTATACTGTTTTCTGGTCAAATGGTACTGTCTTCTGTTGCCTGGAATAGATATATAAATGTTTACCAGGAAATGTTCGAGAACAGCAATGGATATCTGGCCAGGAGGCTGGTCACTTTTAGATCTGTGAGATTCTTTTGTGCCACTTTGATGTGGAGGATATTGAACCCGCATAGTTACTTGCATGTTCTATCGCTAGCCGTGTTTATTGATAAGACGTGGTCTCTCCTGAAATCGGTCCGATACATCGGCTACGTGTTGTTGTTACTGGCCGTTTTTGTAACTGAATATTTGATTAGTGGCTTCGAAGCCTCCGTTAAAACCTCCGTTGATGGTAGATAAGCACATGTTATCAGTCTTAAGAGTTTAGTTACTTTGGTTATGCCACGAGAAGCGGTAATTTTAGTTGACAATGTAAACCCAGTTTTAACTTATTATTTAATTATTTAATGTAGGTTGCCTGGTCGATGATGCTATAAGCGTTGAAGCCGGCATTTTTTATTTACAAATTATTAAAAAAAATCATCAAAACTGTCTCTGTCTAAAGGGTGGTATGCGATTTTCAACTTTAACTTCAAGACAGTGTGTTGCATAATTCATTACATATCGAAGAATTGTATAAGTTTATTGCCTTGTGAGCCCTTATGATCTTGCTTCGCTAACCTTTTTTATTTTATTTTTATTGCTAAGATGTGTGGACGAGCTCACAGCCCACCTGGTGTTAAGTGGTTACTGGAGCCCATAGACATCTACAACGTAAATGCGCCACACACCTTGAGATATAGTTCTAAGGTCTCAGTATAGTCACAACGGCTGCCCCACCCTTCAAACCGAAACGCATTACTGCTTCACGGCAGAAATAGGCGGGGCGGTGGTACATACCTACCCGTGCGGACTCACAAGAGGTCCTACCACCGGTAACCTGTTCCAAATATGCCACTGAGCGATCCCGTGGTATCTCTTTAAGGTATTCGGTAACCACTTAACACCGGTTGGGCCGTGAGCTCGTTTTGTTATCCGGCTAATAAGAGAAACAAACGACCGTGTTTGGTCAAGTGAATTCAACGCGGTTTTTTGTCGCAAAATAAAAATTTATGTGCTAAGGTCACAGACGTGTCACGCACGATCACTTAATACCTACCTAGCTAGAGATAACAAAAAAAACTCTTTGTACAAGCGCTTGTGTGATATCTATTCAAACGAATTAGCGTTATCAGAATTTGAAAACAGCTTCTTAAACGACTTAAAAAAAAAAGAAGATGCTCTCAATCAAACTAAATTTTTTTTATCCACTTCAAAGCTTTTATCTTTGTTAACCGACTTTGATGTTTTATGTTTTTTTTTTTTATATAGAAAGCTAGTGTTTCTCATGTGGTTTCATTTTAATTTTAACAAGATCCGACCCGTCGTTTCTAAGTTATCCTTAAATAAATGCATATCTGCTTGACTCCGACTACGTTTTGTTATTCAATAGTTACAACGTACTTACTACTACAAACTTAATATGAGCTCACGAATGACTTCCACGATGAATGAATACCTAGATATAATTAAGTATTCAAACAACAACAAAAAACAATTTAATATTTATAGTCATTTTAAGTATAATAATATTATTAAAATATTAGGTTTTTTCTTCAAATTTCCTGTTTGTATGCTTGTTAAAATAAAAGATATCGTGAGTAAAAAAATCTATATGCATATATAAAAATGAATTGCTGTTCGTTAGTCTCGCTAAAACTCGAGAACGGCTGGACCGATTTGGCTAATTTTGGTCTTGAATTATTTGTGGAAGTCCAGAGAAGGTTTAAAAGGTAGATAAATGAATGAAAATGTTCGGAATCAAATAAAAATAACAATTTTATTTTCCTTTTGATGTGTCCCCCGTCGGACGGATTCCTTTTGTTTGTTTTAAATTTATTTTATACAAAAGTTAGGTCTTTTATTTATCGATTGAGGCACTACGAAGTCTGCCGGGTCAGCTAGTTATTAATAAAAATAATACCCGAAAATTTGTAAACACACAATTACATACATAATAAGCGTATAATATATATTAAATAAATATTAAATATTAAAAAAATAAAAAACGCGGCTAGTAATCATAAAACCATAATTCTACCTATTCCTATCGCCAAGCGTACGGCGTCACTATTCATAAGTTATGAGAGCGGTTTCCCATTGATGTCCATAACCGCCGATCATCACTTACCGACCAGGTGGTCATTTTTGAGTCGCACATTGAGTTTGTACAGCCCTAATGCCAACCGCCGCGCCGGTGGCACATAAAAAAACCAGGTCATCTAAGCGATTAACTGTCGTATGATGCGAAAAAAATAAGTAGTATTTTTAGCCAGGAATGGCAAACAAGACCTGGGACTATGAATTCGGAATGATTATTTCAGTTTTTGTGTCGGAACCAGTAAATTTTTGTTTTCATTTTAATGCGGGAAGAATTAGATCCGTTGACCGCCGGCTTCGCCCGCGTTATCTAGGAAATGGGTCAGTGTAGTTTCCCATTGGCATGAGATGTTTTTTTTTTTTTCGGGATAAAAGATAGCCCACGTCACTCACCTCGTCTGACCTGACCGGAAATTTCGCTCGATACGAAAGAAAGACAACAAGCAAACAAACGCTTTCACATTTTTAATATTAGTATGGAATGTATTTTTAATTCAATATTCAAAGGTATAAAAGTGTTTGGCCTATTATATTTCGATGCCTCCAATGAANGCATGAGATGTTTTTTTTTTTTCGGGATAAAAGATAGCCCACGTCACTCACCTCGTCTGACCTGACCGGAAATTTCGCTCGATACGAAAGAAAGACAACAAGCAAACAAACGCTTTCACATTTTTAATATTAGTATGGAATGTATTTTTAATTCAATATTCAAAGGTATAAAAGTGTTTGGCCTATTATATTTCGATGCCTCCAATGAACACTAGTCTAACTCAAAATTTTGATATTTTCGTTTTTCACGCAAATCGCTTCACTATTTTAAAAGTATTACAAATTTATTACTAATGGGGTTCGAAGCAAGAGTAAATCAGCTAGTCACACAAGAAAAAAACCATAAAATCTTTATTATTGCGGATATATTTATCAACCTTTTTTCGTTTAAACTCTCCTCCTGTAAACCTACGAATTTGGAGTTGGAGTAGTGTTCATTGGAGGCATCGATTTGGCTAATACGAACAAAATAAAAATTAGAAACGGTTTTTAAGAATTATTTTCTCTCTGTCTCGTTTATTGTTTCGCGAACCTACTTAATTGTGTTGACTTAAAAACCGCCTTACCATAATTAAATATGCATGTTTATAAATGTCTTCTTACATATTATTTTTTTAATGAGCTCACAGCCCATCTGGTGTTAAGTGGTTACCGGAGCCCATAGACATCTACAACGTAAATATTTATTTTTTATTGCTTAGGTGGGTGGACGAGCTCACAGTCCACCTGGTGTTAAGTGGTTACCGGAGCCCATAGACATCTACAACGTAAATGCGCCACCCACTTTGAGACATAAGTTCTAAGGTCTCAAGTATAGTTACAGCGGCTACCCGACATAAGTTCTAAGGTCTCAAGTATAGTTACAGCGGCTACCCCACCTTTCAAACCGAAACGCATTACTGCTTCACGGCAGAAATAAGCGGGGTGGTGGTACCTAACCGCGCGGACTCTCAAGAGGTCTTACCACCAGTTAAAAACGTAAATGCCGCCACCCACCTTGTTTTTTGGTTTCTTCAATCTATGATTCATTCGACTGTTTTTAGCTTCACGGTAATTATAATAGGAATCTAAATAGTAATTATTATAGCAATCACTGTAGACACAGGTTGTTCACGTTTTATTTCTACAGTCTATAACCGATTTTCGGTTGATAATTTAGGAGGAACCAGAACGCCTTAGATGGCGGGCGCTTATTCGTCCCGCCAAAAGTCATCAGAAATTGCTGACTTTTTACCGTTCGTAGCGACAATAGAGAAGGTCGTATCTTAAACAATTATTCAGAGGCCTTACCGTGGAACATAAGGTACAACACATAGAGCTCTAGTCTCTTCGTATGCCCAGAAGCTTCAAGAGTTTCGTCGTCTTGGCCTCGCCTTAATGGCACGCGCTACGTGTAAAGTTAGAGCCTAAACATCTTAAATTCACATTTAAATTCGAATTGCTTCTATATTATTTAAACTACGCGACCTTTTTTAGAATAACACTATTATTTTGCCATATATAAGATTTCTAGGGAATTTCTAGTGTAGAAAAAAAAACTAACTTATTGTAGTGTGTAAGGATGTGGTAGATGAGTGAAAGAGGCATGTAGCGCTGTGAACCACATAATGTCTCATTATAACAAAAAAAAAAGTCCAAAAAATAAAAAATAAATCTTAGGGGTAGACAACCCTTATCACTTAAGGGTATGAAAAATAGATAGTAGCCGATTCTCAGGCTTACTGAATATGCATAAAAATTTTCATGAGAATCGGTCAAGCGGTTTCGGAGGAGTATGGGAACGAACATTGTGACACGAGAATTTTATATATTAGATTTCCTTGGGAAACGAATTAAAACAAACTAGAGGTCCCGCAGTAGTCGAAATTCGACTATAATTAATTGGAATTGTATAATAAGTCGGTACACTATTATGATTGTATTTTATACTTCTATAATCACAAATTTCGCCAAGGCTACACTATAAAAAAATATTAATAAAGACAAACAATATTTATTCTATTCTCAATTTTACCACAGACGTCAAGAACAAAAGTTTGACAATAAATAGTATGCATGCGTGTGTGCGTCAAATACATTGTATGTAGTGTGTGTAATGTTTTCTTTATTGATTTAATGTATCTTTTATGCATTATTTAAAAAAAATATTAGCATTGTGCACTTCTTCTCTATATTCTCTATAAGTGTGGAAAATTTCGTACTCCTCCGTCCGCGCAATTGTCGTAAAAAGGATACAAAGTTTTTGCTTCACGTATTATATATAGATAACGCTAGAAAAACAAATATCTCTGAATACGTACAAATGTAGTATTTGCAAAAGTCTAGTTTATTTGCTTGTTGTTTGCAAGGGAGCCGTATTATTGTAATGTATATTATAATTTTGTGATAACGTAGTTATACTATAAATTCAGTATTGAATTGAGCCTGTAGGGATAAGTGCGCTGGTCCTCTGTGCCACGGTTTGATTCTCGGTTTAAGTCAGTATATTATAGATATTCATGAAATTTACCGCGTCATTTCGGATCCCCCCGATCCACTAATGGTGCTTTTAGGTACCTCAACCACCGGTCATCGTTCTCGTCGAACCCGTCGCTTGCGACGAAGAGCTCGGCGAGTAAATTAACCCACAGACTCAGCCCACTGAGTTTCTCGCCGGATCTTCTCAGTGGGTCGCGTTTCCGATCCGGCGGTAGATTCTGCGAAGCACGGCTCTTGCTAGGGTTCGTGTTAGCAACGTCGTCAGGTTTGAGCCCCGTGAGCTTACCTACACGCAAGGGTAACGCTGATATAGCCTCTCAAGGCTATCACGTTAGGTAGGGGAAAAAAATAATGAAATTTGTCATATGAGCTTTTAATGTTCTACTCTTGTGTCACGTATCCGGAGAATGGATCTTGTTTTAAAGCCGTTTAACGTGGTACGTGTAATCTATAATCTTCAAT